CCCCCCCCCACCTCCCCGTCCTCGCCGTCCAGACTCTCTAGCTTCGTTCCAACCAGCGATCTCCAGCATCCTCATCGCTCTCAGGCATGCCCCTCGTCTCGTCAGCTGTTCCTCGCATGCATCTTCCGCACCGCGCTGGCGCACGAGAGCGAGAGAGCGGAGCTACTGCATGCAGCATCTGGCTGAAGACCCCGCCGCTGCGCACGTCCAAGTCCCTCCTCGTTGCTGCTCGTCGTCGAAGCCGCCGGAGAGCGGGAGAGCGGAGGGAGAGACGTGTCTCTTGTCTGCTGCTGTGCGCCCGCTCGGTTGCTCAGATCAGAGGCGGGTAGAGATGGGGCGCTGGTGAGGAGGAATGAGATGTGCGTGCGCCTCAGCTGGACCTTCTCTGCGAGACCTCTGCGAGACGTGAAGGAGGGCGAGAGGCTCGCGAGCAGGTCTGGCAACTCGCGCTTCGCTCCGTCAGGCACAGGGGATAGAGGCAGCAGGCTGGCCGCTGCTGCCCCTCAACGGCTGCGGCCGAGCCGAGCGAGAGAGCGCCGATGCCGGCGGGTGCGAGGCTCAGCCAACGTCGGCGCCGCCCACTGCTTTGATTACTGCCGCCCGGCCCTGGCGCTGCTACCTGCCCACGGCAAGGCCGCGCCGTCGAGCGCCGTGCGCGTGCGCAGCGGCAGCGGGTGCGGGCGCGGCGCGGCTCCGAGGATCCAACGCATTGGAACGCAGATGGCAGCGTCGCACCGCGCTCCGCAGTAGCAGACCCAAAGCAGCGGCACGCAGCAGGCGTCGCCGCTCTCGCCTGACGCCTCGGCTCCATCGGCGCTGCCGCGCCCCGCAGCTGCTCCAGGCGGGCCTGCCAGCGCCAGGCGTCTGTGCTTCCCCCCCCCCCCCCCCCCAGCCGCCATTCTGCTTCCCTCGCTCTCCCCTCGCTCCTCATGACGCCCTTCAGAAGAGCCCGCACTATTCTCATCCGCCTGGTGCGCCTCGCCTTCATGTTCTCGCGCCCTGCCTTTCCCCTCTGCGCCTCCCTCCTCCCGGACATCGTCCCCGCGGGCCTCCCCTGCCCGCTTCCGACGCATTCTCTCTCACCACAGCACCGATCTCCTCTCGCGCATGCGTGCGCCCGGGCTGCCACCGAGTCAACCCGCCACAGCCCAATGGCCGTCGCTTCTACTCCCCTTCGCGGAACTTTGCGGCCTCGCCTACGAGAACCCTCAGCAGCTCCGAGCTGGCTTCGAAGCGGGCCCGTGGCCGCTGCCCGACGACAGCAACGGCTCGAATGCTGACGCCGGGGCCGCCGGCTCTGGCGTCACTCCCGCACCGGCATATACGCCGTCGTCTGCCGCGGCACTGCACACTGGTACGACGTGGGTGCGTGCATCTGCGTGCTGCTCGCCTCAGCGTCCAAGCACTACGTATGGACACAGCGTAGCTCTGATGCGCCGCGTTGGCGTCAATCAGCGAAGCTCATCGCCCTGTGCAGCAACGTACACGGCCCGCCGTGGCCGTTGCTCAGTTCGCTCGTCCTGATTCAAGTGCAAGTCCAGGCCCTCGGAGCCTTTCCCTCTATATCCGCTTTTCGCAGCTGCACTGCTGCGGTGCTCTCAGCGGCGCGCGACAGGCAAGTTCGTGCCGTCGGCCGTGACGGCGCTCAGTATAGCCATGACTTCGGGTCACGGACTCATTAGGTGCCAGAATATTTGCGAGCTAGTCCCTGGTGGCAATGCTTGATGCGAGTCTGATGAAGAGGCGCAATCAGTCGAGACAGAGACGTCACAGATGTTAGTACGCACGTCGCAACGTGCGTGCTGCGGCGCGCCGCGGCGCGCCGCGGAAGCGATGCCGCACGCGTGGGAACGAAGATCGACGCCTGCGTCCTGAGCTCCTGGCTCGACAGTCAGACAAACACCAGATGCCCGACAGCAGCATCATTGCTCACGCTAATGCACGTTATCCTCTCTCGGTGACAGTCTCCGATACTGCACGCTGTCTGCCGGCAGACTGCGAGGCAGCCCCCGTCGCTGAGCAGGAAGCGTGCCGCCCACGGAGCGGCCGCTCGTTTACTGCATCCTCCTCAGCAGCAAATGAGCGGCGCAGCCCGGGTCACAAGGCACCTGCGACATCGACGCAATCGCCAGCTGCTCTCGCGTTACCCTGACAGCCTGCTGCTTGAGAGAACACATCTAGAGAGCGCAGTTCAGGCCCTGACCACGACGCGATCCATGCGCTCGCTCAGCAGCAGGGTCGTCGCCGGTCCGAGCAGCGTCGGTGCAACTGAACGGGTCCTAGTGTCCGCCGCGGCACCCCGGCGAGCTACTGAAGCTCGCTTGCCGCGGCAGCCAGAGCAGCAGGCGTACATCGTTCGATGCTGCATGATGCACCAGTAGATCAGCACAGAGCCCGACATGCAAGCTCCCCCGCCAGCGCTCAGACGCATCGCCATGAGCATGCTCAGCCGCCGGAGTCCAGACCACACCACACGGAGCGCGCGGAGCGATGGCGAGAGTGTCGTTGTAGCGCCGCTCTGTGCTGTCGCTGCCTCGTGTCTGTGCGCGGGCACCCATGCAGACGGGCTCGTGCGCTCTTCGCTGAGAGAGGCTGCTGCTGTCATGACACGGCAAAGAGCACAGGCTGTGATGCGAATACGCCGCTGAGCGAATGCTTCGAGGTTCAGAGATGCTTGCAGGCCTGCAGGCCCTCGCAGCATCCCACGTCCCGCTGCTGCTTTCGAGGCCGCACGTCGAGCCCTCACCCTGTTCGCCGGGTAGACACCTAGGTGCGCTCCTCCCTTCAAGCCACGATGCTACAGGTCCAACTTTGCTCCCTCGTGAACAACGGACCTGCACGCTATGTGGCATGACAGACATCCTCGTGCCATGCGCTGCTCTGCCTCCGGTGCCGATCCGACAGCAGGGCTGGCACCGTCGCTGCTGCCGAGACTCCTATACGACGGCGTGGAGGGAGGGAAGGATGGTGGCGGAGAGGAAGTGCGTGAGGTGGGTGGCCGAGGAATGAGAGGAATGATGGGTGCGGAGTGCGGCTTGGGGCTTTGTCGGCGGGACGTCGGGCCGAGATGAGGGACCCTCTTTGGCTTTGCCCGAGATCTGGCCCCGCTGCAGTAGGCCGTCGGGGCGTCATAAGGCCTGCGGCGAAGCGGAGTGATGGACGGTCCGATGCTCCCGGCGCGCAGCCGACGTCAGCGGCGGCGCTGGTGCGGCAGTTCGGGAGAGTGAGGGTGCCGGCGGGGACGGGGACGGGGACGGGAGGGGCATCCGTCGGGCGTCGGGCCTCGCAGTAAGGGTCCATCGGTGTCAAGCATGAAGGGCTGCGGCGACGCGGGGCCTCGCCATTTTGGGGTCAAAGTCAGAGTCTTAGCGCGGCGCAGGCCCGTGCGAGCGCAATCTGCACGTTAAGTCCGGGGCACCCTTCATGCTGATGCTACCTCGCAGCGGGAACGGCGGAGCGGTGCCGGCGTTTTTTTCTGCCCCGCCACGGCGTTCTTTCCCGTGTGGCGGGTGGCTGCACACGACTCGCTTTCAGCGCCTGCCTGCTGAGTCTTTTCCAGCGAGACCCTCGTGTGACAGGCCCACTGCGTGCACGACTCGCGGCGGTCGGGGAGGGTGCGCACCGCTCTTGCGGTGTCTCTCAAGGCTGAGGTACGGGCGGTGCAGCTATATAAGGGTGGCCCGTCGGCGTGAGTTGTCGCCTCATCACCACCTGCGCCCGCTGCCTTAGCCTTGCATGCCCACTGTCACCATCGCCTTCGCTCTTCTCGGCATCCTCCTCGTCTCATCGGTCGTTCTACGCGTCTTCGTCTTCCAGCCGCCGTCAGTCCAACAACGCAGGGTCAGACTGCCGCAGCGCATCACCGACTTGGCTGCACTCTGCGTCCAGGCGTACAACGCACCTCGGCTCGATCAGATTGGCCTCGTCATTGGGCCGTGGCAGCTGCTTGACATCGCCGACGAGGGCGCCATCTGGATCTGGGCCGATCTCGAGCAGGCAGCCTCGTACGCCGTCGTCTTCCGCGGCACCGCACATCTCCTCGACCTGCGTGCGTGCTTCTGGCTGCTGCGAGCCTCAGTCTCCGGCGGCGCTGTCGACGCATGGGCCGCTCGCGCCGACTCTATCCTCGTGAGCGTCAAGGCGGCTTTCGAAAGGCATGGCATCGATCCGTCGCAGCACCGCATTGGCTGTGCAGGCCACTCGCTAGGCGCGTCCGATGCCGAGTGGGTGCACCACTGCCTTCGCAGCGAGCGAAGCGAGCGAGGCGAGCGCGGCCCGCTGCATGATGCGGCCACGTTCGACTCGCCGGGCCATCCCGCCGAGTTCCGGCGCCAGCGGGGCATGCCCGAGACGAGCGCTGGTTCGAGTACGGTCATGGCTCCGTCCAACCTCATCAACGCGCTCAACGTGCCGACGGCCGAGACGCTCTACACATGCGGGCGCGGCAGCCGCATCCCACTCGACGCCATCGTCGCTCTCGGGCGGTCGCTCGTCCGCGGCGGCGAGGCCGTTGTCGCTTTGTGCTGCGATCCTGCTGCGGCATTCGAGCAGCATCGCATGCGCTGGATCATCGAGGCCATCGCTGCAGGAGATATCACCGCCTCAAGCCGCGAGCTGTGGGCGCAGAGTACGTGGTCTGCGTTCGCCGCAACTAAGTGGGCATCCCTCTCGACACTCTCGTCGACTGTTCGCTCCCTGCCCAGGCTTCTCTCCGGCCTGCTGTTCTGTTGGATCGACGCTGGACCTGCCGAGCCTGCGGCAGAGCCGAATCCGCGCGAACGGGACGCTCCGCCGCCGGCGCCTCAACATCCGCCGGCCCCTGAGCAGCCGCCGGCGCTTCCGCAGCTGCCGCCGCTTCCCTTAGGGTTAGGGTTAGGGTTAGGGTTAGGGTTAGGGTTAGGGTTAGGGTTAGGGTTAGGGTTAGGGTTAGGGTTAGGGTTAGGGTTAGGGTTAGG